ATCTTGGAATATGCTGATATAATCTGGGTTAACTGTGCCCAACAAGATTGCCAAGAACTTGAGAAACTTCATACTGAAGCTGGCAGAATCATGACTGGAGCAACCAAATCTGCTTCATCCAATTCCATTATGCTTGAAACAGGATGGGAAACTTTGGCTAAAGGCGTTACAAGCATAGAATGTTAACTTCATACAAAATATTTCATGGTGCTGCACCATTATACTTACAAAATTTGCTTCCTCCTATTATAGGGAATGCCCAAAATTATAATTTAAGGACCAATTCAAATAAGCATCCACCAGCAAGTAGGACAAATATCTATATGAACTCTTTTTGACCTACTGCTATCAGGGAATGGAATAGCATACCAAATAACATAAGAAACTCTCCAACTTTGAACACTTTCAAAAAACACCTAGATAAACGAATTATCAAACTTCTAAATTACTTTGTTGGTGAACGCTTGGCTCAAGTACTGCACACTCGTCTTTGTCTTGAATGTAGCTCTCTAAATTATCATCTCTATAATAATCATGTTTCAGATACAGATCTATGTGTATGTGGGCAGGTTGAAACTCCTTATCATTATCTGATGCAGTGTGTACGCTATAATCGAGCTAGAGAAAATACCCTAGATACATTAAATTTCAATTTATCACTAGAATTACTCATTTATGGTGACCCAAACCTGTCTCAAGTTGATAATATCATTATATTTGAAAAGGTGCAAAGGTACATCGTAGATTCGGGTAGATTCTAGGTGCCGGATGGAGTTTCTTTGTGCTCTCTTTACCTCTTCCTTTCTCCTATCTTACCTACTTATGTTATCTTCTAATGGTTCACATATTAACGGTCAGTGTTCATCAGTGAATGTTAAGTTAAAAAATATCTTTCAATGTGTTTAAGTAAATTGTATTATTGTAACTGTTTTATATTGGAGATGGCTTAATATAAGATTTATAATCTTGTTGCCAGATCCATTTTCAATTTCATAATTTGTGTATGTTGTAAATGAAAATCTGAAAATAAAATATTGTTTAAACCAAATGCAGGGATTAATGTTCAATCAAAATTTAAAATTAGGCGCGTTAGCACAGATAAGGCTGACCGATCACACAATTGGACCGAGGCCAAGAAATTTTTACCAGACATAGTGATGCTTGAATGTCTGACACAAAAAAGGAAACTTTGGTAGAGTTTAGAAGGAGTGGACTACAAAATAAATTGACAGAAGATGTCAGTCAAACATTTGATAAAGTTTGTAAATGAATTTTGAACAAATAATCTAATGATTCTTTTGATGTATGTTAAAAATACATAAAATAGCAAATATCAAACTTATTTGGTTTGGGAGCCTTCAAAGATTGTCTACTCACAAATATAGGGCCTGGCGTTACATACGGTCTACCCAACAATCTTTCTATCGAAGGGCATTCTGACAAAATACTTATAGTCAAGTATTATTTCTTGTAATTTACACAAAGTCATTCATATTATAAATCAGCATGGTGGTCTAGAATTTGACTTATCACCCAATGACCTGTCAATCCCAGGGTGCAATAGGTTATTGTAAACTTCTGCCACGCCTTCTTGTAATTGCTGTGAAGAAGCTGCAAAAGTCAAGAAGATGTTAGTTTGATTTATATTACAAGGTAGGATTGATTAAATCCACAACAATGTTCTTTTTATTGTAAACTTCAGATCATTCTGTATGTGATTACAAGTGATGGTTTAATGCGGTCTGTTTCATTAACAAACACGGGCAGATATTTGTAAATAAAACTAAGTACTTTCTTTTCATTCTGCCTATTCTTTTATTCGTTTACATGTAAGATGAAAATTCTGCCAATTTTTCGTTTTCGTCCACATATAAGCCACATCAGTATAAGCTGCACGCCCAGCTCACAAAGAGAAAGGTTGCGGCTTATAATCTGGAAATCTAGAAAGACGTCATATTTATGCTATCCTGTGATCAGGTGGGTGCTCACAGATGGGTGCATGGGCATATGTGGTGTCGATGGATCACAGGAAGGGTCATTACCATGAAAGCTCGAGTAAGTTAGATCACTTACTGGACTGTTGGAGTAGAGCCTGTACTGATTTTTTTTTGCCAGTACCTGCCCCTTACGTTTTGATGAAAACTTGTTGTAATGTTAATGTGTTGAAATTATAGAGTTGAAAATGAAGATATCCTAGAGTTGAAGATGAAGATGTCATAGAGTTGAAGAAGAAGAGGTCATAGAGTTGCAGATGAAGATGTTGTAGGGTTGGTGATAGAGATGTCGTTGGGTTGATAATGAAGAGGCCGTAGAGTTGAAGAAGATGTCGTAGAGTTGCAGATGAAGATGTTGTAGGGTTGATGATGAAGAAGTCGTAGAGTTGATGATGAAGAAGTTGTAGAGTTGATGATGAAGAAGTCGTAGAGTTGAAGATGATGATGTTGTAGGGTTGATGATGGAGATGTCGTAAGGTTGAAGATGAAGAGGTCATAGAGTTGAAGAAGAAGAGGTCGTAGAGTTGCAGATGAAGATGTTGTAGGGTTGGTGATGAAGATGTCAGGGTTGAAGAGAAGAGGTTTGAAGATGAAGATGTCGTAGAGTTGAAGATGTAGATGTCGTAGAGTTGATGATGAAGAGGTCATAGAGTTGAAGAAGATGTCGTAGAGTTGCAGATGAAGATGTTGTAGGGTTGATGATGGAGATGTCGTAGAGTTGATGATGAAGAGGTCATAGAGTTGAAGAAGAAGAGATCGTAGAGTTGCAGATGAAGATGTTGTAGGGTTGGTGATGAAGATGTCGTAGGGTTGAAGAAGAAGAGGTCGCAGAGTTGAAGATGAAGATGTCGTAGAGTTGATGATGAAGAAGTTGTAGAGTTGATGATGAAGAAGTCGTAGAGTTGAAGACGAAGATGTTGTAGAGTTGATGAAGAAGATGTCATTGAGTTGATGATGAAGAAGTCGTAGAGTTGATGATGAAGAAGTTGTAGAGTTGATGATGAAGAAGTCGTAGAGTTGAAGATGATGATGTTGTAGGGTTGATGATGGAGATGTCGTAAGGTTGAAGATGAAGAGGTCATAGAGTTGAAGAAGAAGAGGTCGTAGAGTTGCAGATGAAGATGTTGTAGGGTTGGTGATGAAGATGTCGTAGGGTTGAAGAAGAAGAGGTGGCAGCGTTGAAGATGAAGATGTCGTAGAGTTGATGATGAAGAAGTTGTAGAGTTGATGATGAAGAAGTCGTAGAGTTGAAGACGAAGATGTTGTAGAGTTGATGAAGAAGATGTCATTGAGTTGATGATGAAGAAGTCGTAGAGTTGCAGATGAAGAAGTTGTAGAGTTGATGATGAAGAAGTCGTAGAGTTGAAGATGATGATGTTGTAGGGTTGATGATGGAGATGTCGTAAGGTTGAAGATGAAGAGGTCATAGAGTTGAAGAAGAAGAGGTCGTAGAGTTGCAGATGAAGATGTTGTAGGGTTGGTGATGAAGATGTCGTAGGGTTGAAGAAGAAGAGGTCGCAGAGTTGAAGATGAAGATGTCGTAGAGTTGAAGATGTAGATGTCGTTGGGTTGATAATGAAGAGGTCGTAGAGTTGAAGAAGAGGTCATAGAGTTGCAGATGAAGATGTTGTAGGGTTGGTGATAGAGATGTCGTTGGGTTGATAATGAAGAGGTCGTAGAGTTGAAGAAGAAGATGTCGTAGAGTTGATGATGAAGATGTCGTAAAGTTGATCATGAAGATGTCCAGTTCTTGTTGGAAGTGTTTTATTCTTCATCTTTATATTTATGTACAATATGCAGGTATGCTTTATACAATAACCATCCTTTACCATATCATAGTTAACAAGCTGAGATGTTCTTGCTCGTTCAAAAGCCAGAGTAAGCAAGCGTCCCGCCAGTGGAAACTAGCCTCTCTCCTGTGTGGCCTCTGCTCTCTTTTCTATCACAGAACAAGAGAGGTCTATGTATACTAAAAATGTTATGACACTGTTGGTAAAGTAACATTACACATTAGATAACAGAATAACAAAGATTGTTCAACATGTTTGTGACTGAAACAGATCATCTAGAACTGCCAGCCTAGAACCTGCAATCATATACAGAGGAAAATCAAAATAACATTCTCGTGGATTTAATTACTTATATTACACCTTTTAATATGAATCACAATATCTTCTGGACTTTTGCAGTTACTTTGAAGTGGTAACGGAAGTTTGCAATAGCCTTTTGCATCCTAGGATTGTTGGGTCATCGGTAATGGGTCAAATTTTTGTCAAAGTTATTGTCTATGATATGAATGGCTTTGCGTTACTTACAAGAAGAAATGACGTAGAACTGTATAAATTTGGTCAGCAAGCAAGGGCCTTCTTTATATTTATATTTAACATTACAGACACTGATGGAAAGATTGGTTAGTAAACCATATGTAACATCAGGCCCTATATATGTGTGTAGACAAGCCAATATTTGGTATTCTACATATTTTTTACTACACCAATGAAATAAACCATTATCTGTGTATAATTCATTTACAAACTTAAATTAAATGATTCACTGATGATCTTGATAAATTGCATTCAGTTGTCTGTTATATCAACAAACTTTGGACAACAGTAATGGTTACCACTTCGTAGAACAGCCTTCCATGATCTGTTTTCAATATATCAAACCTCAACAATAGGGGTCACGATACTGTAAGAAAAGTTGTGAGATAAAGTTGGCAACGTTACACAACTGACAGTCTGTAAATGACATTAATGTGTTGATCAGACTTTCTTTCCCCTTTCTTGTGGCAAAATGCTCATTCAATCTATAAAGGGCAAATCATGTCAGCCTTATGGATCTCTGGTTTTCCTCAGTGTTTGGAAAATCATTAAAGATATTTTCCGAAAGGCTTAAGGATATTTACAAGGGCAGATACTCTAGATTGTCTCTACATAACAATACAATTAACATGAGTTATGAAAAAAAGTATACAATATATGATTAAATGATTTGTCATTTCAGTTTCGATGATGAGGGTTATGGAGCAGTGAATGCTGATGTAAACCTATTGTCAACAGGATTCTCACTGGTGATGGTCTACCTCATCCTCACCCTGGGCAGATTTAATCTCGTCCATCAGAAGGTGAGTCTTGTCTCCCACACCTCAGGTCTACCTCATCCTCACCCTGGGCAGATTTAATCTCATTCATCAGAAGGTGAGTCATCCCTCCCCACCCCCAGGTCTACCTCATCCTCACCCTGGGCAGATTTAATCTGGTCCATCAGAAGGTGAGTCTTGTCTCCCACACCTCAGGTCTACCTCATCCTCACCCTAGGCAGATTTAATCTCGTTCATCAGAAGGTGAGTCATCCCTCCCCACCCCCAGGTCTACCTCATCCTCACCTTGGGCAGATTTAATCTCGTCCATCAGAAGGTGAGTCTTGTCTCCCACACCTCAGGTCTACCTCATCCTCACCCTGGGCAGATTTAATCTCGTTCATCAGAAGGTGAGTCATCCCTCCCCACCCCCAGGTCTACCTCATCCTCACCCTGGGCAGATATAATCTTGTCTATCAGAAGGTGAGTCTTGTCTCCCACACCTGAGGTCTACCTCATCCTCACCCTGGGCAGATTTAATTTCGTCCATCAGAAGGTGAGTCTTGTCTCCCACACCTGAGGTCTACCTCATCCTCACCCTGGGCAGATTTAATTTCGTCCATCAGAAGGTGAGTCTTGTCTCCCACACCTGAGGTCTACCTCATCCTCACCCTGGGCAGATTTAATCTCGTTCATCAGAAGGTGAGTCATCCCTCCCCACCCCCAGGTCTACCTCATCCTCACCCTGGGCAGATATAATCTTGTCTATCAGAAGGTGAGTTTTGTCTCCCACACCTCAGGTCTACCTCATCCTCACCCTGGGCAGATTTAATTTCGTCCATCAGAAGGTGAGTCTTGTCTCCCACACCTCAGGTCTACCTCATCCTCACCCTGGGCAGATTTAATTTCGTCCATCAGAAGGTGAGTCTTGTCTCCCACACCTGAGGTCTACCTCATCCTCACCCTGGGCAGATTTAATCTCGTCCATCAGAAGGTGAGTCTTGTCTCCCACACCTCAGGTCTACCTCATCCTCACCCTGGGCAGATTTAATCTCGTTCATCAGAAGGTGAGTCATCCCTCCCCACCCCCAGGTCTACTATATCCTCACCTTGGGCAGATATAATCTTGTTCATCAGAAGGTGAGTCATCCCCCCCCACCCCCAGGTCTACCTCATCCTCACCCTGGACAGATTTAATTTCGTTCATCAGAAGGTGAGTCTTGTCTCCCACACCTCAGGTCTACCTCATCCTCACCCTGGGCAGATTTAATCTTTTTCATCAGAAGGTGAGTCATCCCTCCCCACCCCCAGGTCTACCTCATCCTCACTCTGGGCAGATATAATCTTGTCTATCAGAAGGTGAGTCTTGTCTCCCACACCTGAGGTCTACCTCATCCTCACCCTGGGCAGATTTAATTTCGTCCATCAGAAGGTGAGTCTTGTCTCCCACACCTGAGGTCTACCTCATCCTCACTCTGGGAAGATTTAATTTCGTCCATCAGAAGGTGAGTCTTGTCTCCCACACCTGAGGTCTACCTCATCCTCACCCTGGGCAGATTTAATCTCGTCCAGCAGAAGGTGAGTGTTGTCTCCCACACCTGAGGTCTACCTCATCATCACCCTGGGCAGATTTAATCTCGTTCATCAGAAGGTGAGACATCCCTCCCCACCCCCAGGTCTACCTCATCCTCACCCTGGAAAGATTTAATCTCGTCCATCAGAAGGTGAGTCACTCCTCCCCACCCCCAGGTCTACCTCATCCTCACTCTGGGCAGATTTAATCTCGTCCATCAGAAGGTGAGATAAAACCATTAAATAGCCTGTGTTTTCATCACATCCTTTAGAGTACATAATTTATTTTTCTATATCAAATCCTTGAAATAATGCCATTAAATAGCCTGTGTTTTCATCACATCTCTAACAGAACACTATTAAATAACAAGTTTTTGTTTAATCAAATCCTTGACATAACACACTGAATAACTTTGCTTTTATCACATACTTTAGAGTACAAAATTAGATTTTTTTTATCAAATCCTCTTTGCATAAAACAATTAAATTATCTTTGATTTCATCACATACTTTACAGTACACAATTTTATTTGTTTAACAACAATGTTTTTTTTTTTGCAACAAAATAATTTTGTCCATCTGATCTTGGTGAACTTTGTGTAGATACATATACAGACATGGATCTAAGTGCCTTTTAGAGACAAAATAAATCTGTGTTCATTGTACATCACAGAGCTCTAGGAACCTTTTTGTTTTTCTTCAGCTGACAAGATGTGTTGTGTATGTGTTTCATTTAACATGAGATTGTATATACCAGTACATATGAACATCAGATGAACCCAAAGGACACAGTAACTTAGATGTCATGGAGTTGAAGGAAGACTTGTCACCAATGATATTTAATTTCATATAAAATTAATGACTATCTGTATTTCATTTATTCACCAGGTCAAAGATCAGAGTAAAATTTTAACTAGAATGTATTCTATTGGTAAATATTTTGTCATGCCATTATTAAGCAAAGCTTGCCAGAATCAAATGATTGTAAGTTGTAGATGATATTTAGTTTAATAACTGAGCATGTTAGTTAAGGACGTTGCTAGATGTGTAATCCAGATAAAGAAGGATTATAGATAACTTTAAAGCTGATTTTCACATCTCTCCTTTGTATTTATCATTATGTAAAACAGCATAAGCTTCATTGATTATATGTACTACATATGATCAAAATTCTATATCAACAATTGATTGTACTTAACAGAAATGTTTGTTCCCGATACTTCCACTACTTCAGTTTCTTTAAATCTTGAAATTTAAGCCATGTGTGATTTTATATTGCTGTGTATGTATGTAAAGTCATGGCTGTGATAAAAGACAGTCATGTTTGTTCAAATGAATGACCTTGACCCACTTACAAGGTCATTGGTCAAGTGTGATAAAATCTTTCAATAACTTTTCAATAGGTCAGTACCATACTTGAAGAATAGTTCTTAAGTTTGAGTATTGGAAAACTATTCATTTTCTAGGTCACAGGAGTCAGATATGTTAAAATCTTAAAACAACTTTTGATAAATAATCAAAAGTCCCAGGATTTTGATGTATGGTTGGAAGTTTGCTAGGATGAAATAACTTCTGTGGATGTAAATAACCTTGGCAAAGGTTGCAAGGTTCATATGTGTTTAAATGCTCTAATGTTATCTTCTGACTAATCAAACGGCTCAGGGTCATGGTATTTGACCTGGTGTTGTATAGAACTTCCATGTTTAAATAATCTAAACCCAATGTCAAGGTCACATTTGTCAATGATCTAAGATTTTTTTCAAAAAGCCATCTTCTGAATAACACAGAATGCCATACTATTTAATCAAAGGAATGCTTGGTTGAAGGATAATAAAGTTTGGTCAAGTGAATATGTCCTTGACCTACCTGTATTTGCTGTAATAAAGTACCTGTGGAACCTGTGTTGATGTCTATACTATGTCTATCTCCACAGTCATTGGATTCCTTTATTTGATTTTAGTTCTACTTGTCGATTGCTGGGCTGCTCAGCGTGGGACTCGCCATCGGGTTCGCTTATGGTCTGGCCATCTCCTGTGGTATCCTGTACGGTCCTGTCCATGCCCTAATGCCCTTCCTCCTTCTGGGTAAGTACACATTGATGTCCTAACTTCACCCTAGGACCCTTCCTCCTCCTGGGTAAGTACATATTGTTGTCCTAACTTCACCCTAGGACCCTTCCTCCTCCTGGGTAAGTACATATTGTTGTCCTAACTTCACCCAGGACCCTTCCTCCTCCTTGGTAAGTACACATTGATGGTCCTAACTTCACCCTAGGACCCTTCCTCCTCCTGGGTAAGTACGCATTGATGTCCTAACTTCACCCTAGAACCCTTCCTCCTCCTGGGTAAGTACACATTGATGTCCTAACTTCACCCTAGAACCCTTCCTCCTCCTGGGTAAGTACACATTGATGGTCCTAACTTGTGGGCAAGTGATACCTGATGATGTCAAGAAATCAATGCCTTGTTGTCAGGGTGACAGTTGAGTGTTTTACAGTGGAGCCATTTGACTCCCAAGGTCACATGTCAATGATAATAGATATTGTATAAATTGTGCCGTCAGTGATAATAGATGTACTAATCGTGTCGTCAATGATAATAGATTTTGTACTAATCGTGTTGTCAGTGATAACAGATGTTGTACTAATCGTGTCGTCAATGATTAAAGATGTTGTACTAATCGTGTCGTCAGTGATAATAGATGTACTAATCGTGTCGTCAATGATAATAGATGTTGTACTAATCGTGTCGTCAATGATAACAGATGTTGTACTAATCGTGTCGTCAATGATAACAGATGTTGTACTTATTGTGTCGTCAATGATAACAGATCTTGTACTAATGGTGTCGTCAAAGATAACAGATATTGTACTAATCGTATCGTCAATGATGATAGATGTTGTACTAATCGTGTCGTCAATGATAATAGATGTTGTACTAATTGTGTCATCAATGATAACAGATGTTGTACTAATCGTGTCGTCAATGATAACAGATGTTGTACTAATCGTGTTGTCAATGATGATAGATGTTGTACTAATGGTGTCGTCAGTGATAACAGATGTTGTACTAATCATGTCGTCAATGATAACAGATGTTGTACTAATGGTGTCGTCAATGATGATAGATGTTGTACTAATCGTGTCGTCAAAGATAACAGATGTTGTACTAATCGTGTCGTCAATGATAATAGATCTTGTACTAATTGTGTCATCAATGATGATAGATGTTGTACTAATGGTGTCGTCAATGATGATAGATGTTGTACTAATCGTGTCGTCAAAGATAACAGATGTTGTACTAATCGTGTCGTCAATGATAACAGATGTTGTACTAATCGTGTCATCAAAGATAACAGATGTTGTACTAATCGTGTTGTCAATGATGATAGATGTTGTACTAATGGTGTCGTCAATGATGATAGATGTTGTACTAATCGTGTCGTCAAAGATAACAGATGTTGTACTAATCGTGTCGTCAATGATAACAGATGTTGTACTAATCGTGTCATCAAAGATAACAGATGTTGTACTAATCGTGTTGTCAATGATGATAGATGTTGTACTAATGGTGTCGTCAGTGATAACAGATGTTGTACTAATCATGTCGTCAATGATAACAGATGTTGTACTAATCTTGTCGTCAATGATAACAGATTTTGTACTAACCTTATAGCATCTTTGAACAGGTATTGGTGTGGATGACATGTTCGTTATTGTGGAGGCCTGGAAGAATTTGTCACAGAAGGAAATGAAGCTCCCCCTGGTGGACCGCATGGCACTGTCGCTCAAGCATGCTGGTGTGTCCATCACCGTAACGTCGATCACAGACGTAGTGGCTTTCGCTATTGGAGCATCAACAGTATGTTTACGGTTTCTTTATACTGTTTTCAGACATTTTAGACCTTCCATTTTTCCCCTGTTTCTCAACCCTGATCAGCCTTTTTATACATAATATTCAAGGTTCAACGTCATTATTTAATGGAAGTTTCAGTCATCTGTTTAAATTTTACAGGTGATTCCGGGTCTCAGTGGTTTCTGTATCTATGCAGCCTTGGGAATACTTGCGTTGTACGGTCTCCAGGCAACCTTCTTTGTGGCTTGTCTCACCTTAGACCAACAGAAAGTTGAGGCAACACGTGATGGCTGTATTCCTTGTTATGTACACAAAAACTATACTCCAAATTCCTTCAGCCAGAGGGACATAATGACCACAGCCTTCGAAAAATATATCGGACCAAATCTCATGAAATTTCCTGTCAAAGTAAGTCATCATTTTTATGAAACTATTTTTATAGTCTATCTTCTCTGGTGTATACATCTCATTTTTCCTTGAATAAAACACGAAAAAGTTTTAAAGATTTTCTTCCCAATCAAACAGGTATTCTGTTCTACTTCAGTTATGTTGTCATTTAGATTTTATCATATTATCACAGAAACAGATCAACAAGGTTATTCATTCAGTTGTTTTTAAGAACTTGACTTCAAAACAATTCCAAGTAACAATCACCAACTTTGAAAACTCAGAACCCTATTGTGCTCTTCACTCTGTATTGGGTATTTTTGATGTAACTAAAGAGAGACAGGCATTAATTATGCTGTTTGCATAGTTCACGTTCAAACCAATTAAGGATGTGGTTTTGGTTCTATATTGTTTAATGTCCTGTCAACAGATCTGGTCATTTAAGGACAAACACTTCAGGATAGCTATTATGTATCTCAAAATCAGAGAACAAATAAGGTAGTGTCTTCTGTAATTTAAAAGTTCCATATTGGATGTTAAAGTGAAACTGTTGAAGTGGGACCATGATTTTCTCTTTTTATGACTTTCCTTTAAAAAGGACATGGTTGTGTTCTTGTACTTCTCATGAAGCTCGAAGACAGACCGACCTGTGCTGACATGGTTGTATTCTTGTACAACTCATGAAGCTTTGAGACAGACCAACCTGTGCTGACATGGTTGTGTTCTTGTACTTCTCATGAAGCTCGAAGACAGACCGACCTGTGCTGACATGGTTGTGTTCTTGTACAACTCATGAAGTTCGGAGACAGACCGACCTGTGCTGACATGGTTGTGTTCTTGTACTTCTCATGAAGCTTTGAGACAGACCAACCTGTGCTGACATGGTTGTGTTCTTGTACTTCTCATGAAGCTCGGAGACAGACCGACCTGTGCTGACATGGTTGTGTTCTTGTACTTCTCATGAAGCTTTGAGACAGACCAACCTGTGCTGACATGGTTGTGTTCTTGTACTTCTCATGAAGCTCGGAGACAGACCGACCTGTGCTGACATGGTTGTGTTCTTGTACTTCTCATGAAGCTCGGAGACAGACCGACCTGTGCTGACATGGTTGTGTTCTTGTACAACTCATGAAGCTCGGAGACAGACCGACCTGTGCTGACATGGTTGTTTTCTTGTACTTCTCATGAAGCTCGACAGACCAACCTGTGCTGACATGGTTGTGTTCTTGTACTTCTCATGAAGCTCGGAGACAGACCGACCTGTGCTGACATGGTTGTGTTCTTGTACAACTCATGAAGCTCGGAGACAGACCGACCTGTGCTGACATGGTTGTGTTCTTGTACTTCTCATGAAGCTCGGAGACAGACCGACCTGTGCTGACATGGTTGTGTTCTTGTACAACTCATGAAGCTCGGAGACAGACCGACCTGTGCTGATATGGTTGTGTCCTTGTACTTCTCATGAAGCTCGGAGACAGACCGACCTGTGCTGACATGGTTGTGTTCTTGTACAACTCATGAAGCTCGGAGACAGACTGACCTGTGCTGATATGGTTGTGTCCTTGGACATGAAACTTCACCCTAATTACCATGTACAGCATGCAATGGGCCTCCTGTATGTTGTTCACTGAGGTAGTCATCAGCTACTTCGAGGAGACCCTGCCTCTGCTGTTCACGAAATAGTGATTTGAGAGATATCGCTGTGCTGGGTAACATCAGGTCATTTCACTTCTATATTTATATATAAATCTTATTCCAGACTCTTGTATTACTCGTCACGTTCACATTACTTGGAGTCAACGTTTGGGGTTTCTACCAGCTGCGACAGGATTTCAGTCTGACGATGTACATCCCTTCAGATTCCTATGCCCATAAATATGCCATAGCTAGGGAAAAGTATTTTCCTTCTGATGGAGTGGACACCGCTGTGTACTGCAGTAAGTTCTTAGATGTTGGGAAATGTTCAAACTTTAAACATGAAATATGTAATTCAGTTTTATTGCATTACAATGAATGATGTAGAGATTCTTTAAGGACTAATCTTCATGATATTGAACACTGTAGAGATTGATTTGTAGAAGACTTTGAGTATCACAAGAGATTTGATGGAGAAGATGTACCATGATATCTATGTTTTATTTGTAGAAGACTGAGTATCACAAGAGATTTGATGGAGAAGATGTACCATGATATCTATGTTTTATTTGTAGAAGACTTTGAGTATCACAAGAGATTTGATGGAGAAGATGTACCATGATATCTATGTTTTATTTGTAGAAGACTGAGTATCACAAGAGATTTGATGGAGAAGATGAACTATGATATCTAGGTTTTATTTGTAGAAGACTTTGAGTATCACAAGAGCCGAGATTTGATGGAGAAGATGGACCATGATATCTATGTTTTATTTGTAGAAGACTGAGTATCACAAGAGATTTGATGGAGAAGATGAACTATGATATCTAGGTTTTATTTGTAGAAGACTTTGAGTATCACAAGAGCCGAGATTTGATGGAGAAGATGTACCATGATATTGTACAGGATCCATATATCGTCAATGGTTCTGTGGTGTTCTGGTTCTCTGCCTTCAACAAATGGTTTGACACCATTAAAGATGACCCTTCTGTGGCCCACACCATGTACGGAGGTAATGTTCGGAGAGACCTTATAGAGGGCTACATTACTTTATTTAATCTTCAGTTTGATGAACACAGAGGCCAACAAATAACATTTTATTCAGTTGGTAGCTGAACGGTCTGGATGACTTGTAGTCATCGTGTTTCATCGGTCGTCATGAGCTGAAACTTGTCTGAAATGATCCAGAGATGATCCTGTTGTTAAATTTGGGGTTGGTCTGACATTCAGTATGAAAAACACATGTAAGACTTATTCTCAAGTTCCACTGGTGCCATTAAGCTGAAAATGGGTGGGAATGGGAACGTGGCAACATGTTATTTTTCAGGTTCAGTAAAGTTCAGTAAAGTAGCCAAGGCAGCCATTTTATAACATGACTATATAATCATGGTTTCCCTGAAATATATCTAAAACTTCTTCCTCAAGTTCCACAAGTGAGATTAGCTGCAACTCACATGGAATGATCCTGGGATGGTGTTGACTGAGTGTTATTATATTTTGGGTTGGTCAGAAATCCAATATGGCCATTATTATAAAAAACACATTTTAGACTTCTTGTCAAGTTGCACTAGTGTCATTGAGCAGAAAAATTGGTGGGAATGTGTAGGAAGGGAAGCTAAAAAAGTAATTTTCTTTCTCATTACATGCAGCTATGGCGGACATTTTGTAACATAATTACTTGGTTTCTCTGAACAATACTCATTTTAAACTTCTTAAGTTCTCCCCGTGGGATTGAACTGATACTTACCTGAAATAAACCTGGGATGGTCCTAATTAAGTGTTTTTATTTTTCGTCCCAGAATCCAATGCTCTTCATGTATGGAAGTGTCTGAAGGTGCTTATCTGAAATTGTGAATTTCATTACCTCAGGATCTCATATGTCCTTGTTCGGAAGGGGTAAAATTAACTATAATTTTTTGATAATTTTTTTTATCGAAACAGTTATTTCCAGCTGGAAGAATCATTAAGATAGGATAACAGTTTTGATAGTATGCATGTATTGACTGGCTTACTGTCATCAATGTCTAACAATTTCTTTTTCATGCCACTTGAAAGATACTTACCCTTTAACCTTTGTATTCATTACCGTCATGGCAGTAATTTCACCTGTTTAAAATAGGATTGTGTGTGATAAAAGATGGTGGTAGGAAGGGAAAAGAAAAAAAAAATTGTGGTTTTAACATGATCATGAAAGAGAATTTTATATTTTAGGTCAGAATAGATTGTTTTGTCTTCAGATATAAAGTATCCATACTCCAAAGCCTGGTTTGCATTGCTGCTTCATCAGTTTATCTACCAGACATCTCAGGGCCAGGCCTTCCGACATTTCATCAAGTTTGAAAATGCTTCATCAACCGGCAACCCAATCATCATAGTAGGTATCTTAAGTTTGCTGAAGTTTTAAATTCTTAAGTAATGTCAAGTGTTTTCCTTTTCAACATTTCACTTATATTTCAAACTTGTTTATTTGAAAAAAAATCCAAGGTGTGTGGTTCAGTGATCCCAACCTCAGGGGAAAGTCCAAGGTGTGTGGTTCAGTGATCCCAACCTCAGGGGAAAGTCCAAGGTGTGTGGTTCAGTGATCCCAACCTCAAGGGAAAGTCCAAGGTGTGTGGTTCAGTGAACCCAACCTCAGGGGAAAGTCCAAGGTGTGTGGTTCAGTGATCCCAACGTCAGGGGAAAGTCCAAGGTGTGTGGTTCAGTGATCCCAACCTCACGGGAAAGTCCAAGGTGTGTGGTTCAGTGATCCCAACCTCAAGGGAAAGTCCAAGGTGTGTGGTTCAGTGATCCCAACCTCAAGGGAAAGTCCAAGGTGTGTGGTTCAGTGATCCCAACCTCAGGGGAAAATCCAAGGTGTGTGGTTCAGTGATCCCAACCTCAGGGGAAAGTCCAAGGTGTGGTTCAATGATCCCAACCTCAGGGGAAAGTCCAAGGTGTGTGGTTCAGTGATCCCAACCTCAAGGGAAAGTCCAAGGTGTGTGGTTCAGTGAACCCAACCTCAGGGGAAAGTCCAAGGTGTGTGGTTCAGTGATCCCAACGTCAGGGGAAAGTCCAAGGTGTGTGGTTCCGTGAACCCAACCTCAGGGGAAAGTCCAAGGTGTGTGGTTCAGTGATCCCAACGTCAGGGGAAAATCCAAGGTGTGTGGTTCAGTGAACCCAACCTCAGGGGAAAGTCCAAGGTGTGTGGTTCAGTGATCCCAACGTCAGGGGAAAGTCCAAGGTGTGTGGTTCAGTGATCCCAACCTCAGGGGAAAGTCCAAGGTGTGTGGTTCAGTGATCCCAACCTCAGGGGAAAGTCCAAGGTATGGTTCAATGATCCCAACCTCAGGGGAAAGTCCAAGGTGTGGTTCAATGATCCCAACCTCAGGGGAAAGTCCAAGGTGTTTGGTTCAGTGATCCCAACCTCAGGGGAAAGTCCAAGGTGTGGTTCAATGATCCCAACCTCAGGGGAAAGTCCAAGGTGTGTGGTTCAGTGATCCCAACCTCAGGGGAAAGTCCAAGGTGTGTGGTTCAGTGATCCCAACCTCAGGGGAAAGTCCAAGGTGTGGTTCAATGATCCCAACGTCAGGGGAAAGTCCAAGGTGTGTGGTTCCATGAACCCAACCTCAGGGGAAAGTCCAAGGTGTGTGGTTCACTGATCCCAACGTCAGGGGAAAATCCAAGGTGTGTGGTTCAGTGAACCCAACCTCAGGGGAAAGTCCAAGGTGTGTGGTTCAGTGATCCCAACGTCAGGGGAAAGTCCAAGGTGTGTGGTTCAGTGATCCCAACCTCAGGGGAAAGTCCAAGGTGTGTGGTTCAGTGATCCCAACCTCAGGGGAAAGTCCAAGGTGTGGTTCAATGATCCCAACCTCAGGGGAAAGTCCAAGGTGTGGTTCAATGATCCCAACCTCAGGGGAAAGTCCAAGGTGTGTGGTTCAGTGATCCCAACCTCAGGGGAAAGTCCAAGGTGTGGTTCAATGATCCCAACCTCAGGGGAAAGTCCAAGGTGTGTGGTTCAGTGATCCCAACCTCAGGGGAAAGTCCAAGGTGTGTGGTTCAGTGATCCCAACCTCAGGGGAAAGTCCAAGGTGTGTGGTTCAATGATCCCAACCTCAGGGGAAAGTCCAAGGTGTGTGGTTCAGTGATCCCAACCTCAGGGGAAAGTCCAAGGTGTGTGGTTCAGTGATCCCAACCTCAGGGGAAAGTCCAAGGTGTGTAGTTCAGTGATCCCAACCTCAGGGGAAAGTCCAAGGTGTGGTTCAGTGATCCCAACCTCAGGGGAAAGTCCAAGGTGTGTGGTTCAGTGATCCCAACCTCAGGGGAAAGTCCAAGGTGTGTGGTTCAGTGATCCCAACCTCAGGGGAAAATCCAAGGTGTGTAGTTCAGTGATCCCAACCTCAGGGGAAAGTCCAAGGTGTGGTTCAATGATCCCAACCTCAGGGGAAAGTCCAATGTGTGTGGTTCAGTGATCCCAACCTCAAGGGAAAGTCCAAGGTGTGTGGTTCAGTGAACCCAACCTCAGGAAAGTCCAAGGTGTGTGGTTCAGTGATCCCAACCTCAGGGGAAAGTCCAAGGTGTGTGGTTCAATGATCCCAACCTCAGGGGAAAGTCCAAGGTGTGTGGTTCAATGATCCCAACCTCAGGGGAAAGTCCAAGGTGTGTGGTTCAGTGATCCCAACCTTAAGGGAAAGTCCAAGGTGTGTGGTTCAGTGAACCCAACCTCAGGGGAAAGTCCAAGGTGTGTGGTTCAGTGATCCCAACGTCAGGGGAAAGTCCAAGGTGTGTGGTTCAGTGATCCCAACCTCAATGGAAAGTCTAAGGTGTGGTTCAATGATCCCAACCTCAGGGGAAAGTCCAAGGTGTGTGGTTCAATGATACCAACCTCTGGGGAAAATCCAAGGTGTGTGGTTCAATGATCCCAACCTCGTGGAAAGTCCAAGGTGTATGGTTCAATGATACCAACCTCTGGGGAAAATCCAAGGTGTGTGGTTCAATGATCCCAACCTCAGGGGAAAGTCCAAGGTGTGGTTCAATGATCCCAACATCGTGGAAAGTCCAAGGTGTGTGGTTCAATGATACCAACCTCAGGGGAAAATCCAAGGTGTGTGGTTCAATGATCCCAACCTCAGGGGAAAGTCCAAGGTGATTCAATGATCCCAACCTCTGGGGAAAATCCAATGTGTGTGGTTCAATGATCCCAACATCAGGGGAAAGTCCAAGGTGATTCAATGATCCCAACCTCTGGGGAAAATCCAAGGTGTGTGGTTCAATGATCCCAACATCAGGAGAAAGTCCAAGGTGTGGTTCCATGATCCCAACCGGTGGGGAAAGTCAAAGATGTGTGGTTCAGTGATCCCAACGTCAGGGGAAAGTCCAAGGTGTGTGGTTCAGTGATCCCAACCTCAAGGGAAAGTCCAAGGTGTGTGGTTCAGTGAACCCAACCTCAATGGAAAGTCTAAGGTGTGGTTCAATGATCCCAACCTCGGGAAAGTCCAAGGTGTGTGGTTCAATGATCCCAACCTCAGGGGAAAATCCAAGGTGTGTGGTTCAATGATCCCAACCTCGTGGAAAGTCCAAGGTGTATGGTTCAATGATACCAACCTCTGGGGAAAATCCAAGGTGTGTGGTTCAATGATCCCAACATCAGGGGAAAGTCCAAGGTGTGGTTCAGTGATCCCAACCTCAAGGGAAAGTCCAAGGTGTGTGGTTCAGTGATCCCAACCTCAAGGGAAAGTCCAAGGTGTGTGGTTCAGTGATCCCAACCTCAGGGGAAAGTCCAAGGTGATTCAATGATCCCAACCTCTGGGGAAAATCCAAGGTGTGTGGTTCAATGATCCCAACATCAGGAGAAAGTCCAAGGTGTGGTTCCATGATCCCAACCTGTGGGGAAAGTCAAAGATGTGTGGTTCAGTGATCCCAACCTCAGGGGAAAGTTCAAGGTGATTCAATGATCCCAACCTCAGGGGAATATCCAAGGTGATTCAATGATCCCAACCTCAGGGGAATATCCAAGGTGATTCAATTGTCCCAACCTCAGGGTGGTTTGTGTTTCTTGGTTAGCAGAGATCGTATCTGTACTGGCATGATTGTGACCTTGAGCAAGACAATTTACTTACGTTGTTTTGGATTGTTTGTGACAAGCCTGCTAGTTGATGGTCATTAAGATGGAAACTGGCTATATCAAATTGACTAGACAGTTCCCTAAGTTAGGTATTATTATATCATTGAACTGGCTTCCATTCAAAATAAGTATTATCTTCCTTCCATTTTCAACTCCGATGTTGAGGTCGACAGTTGAATTTAAAATAACTTAATTATCACTGAACCGTCTAAACTTGACATCATCAACAACAAAATCACTTTATTGTATTGTATTATAGTATATTGTATTGTATTGTATTATAGTGTATTGTATTGTATTATAGTATATTGTATTGTATTATAGTGTATTGTATTGTATTATAGTATATTGTATTGTGTTATAGTATATTGTATTGTGTTATAGTATATTGTATTGTATTATAGTATATTGTATTGTATTATAGTGTATTGTATTGTGTTGTATTGTGTTGTGTTGTGTTGTATTGTATTGTATTGTATTATATTGTAGTATATTGTATTGTGTTATAGTATATTGTATTGTATTATAGTATATTGTATTGTATTGTATTATATTGTAGTATATTGTATTGTGTTATAGTATATTGTATTGTATTATAGTATATTGTATTATATTATAGTATATTGTATTGTATTATAGTATATTGTATTGTATTGTATTATAGTATATTGTATTGTATTATAGTATATTGTATTGTATTATAGTATATTGTATTGTATTATAGTATATTGTATTGTATTGTATTATAGTATATTGTATTGCATTGTATTATAGTATATTGTATTGTATTATAGTGTATTGTATTGTGTTGTATTGTGTTGTGTTGTGTTGTATTGTATTGTGTTGTATTGTATTGTATTATATTATAGTATATTGTATTGTATTTGTATTGTATTGTATTGCATTGTCTTGTATTTGTTTTCACTCTCCAGAGGTAGATTTTAACTAGCATGGCTGTTTCAGGGGACATATTTCACACTACGACACACCTATCAACCTGACTCCAAGTCTGAGATTATCGCCATGGAGAGTCTTCGACATGTGATAGATAACTCAGGTCTTCCTGGAGGTGGCTGCTTTGCTTACACTGACGTCTACCTTACATATGAAACCAATAAGGTAACCATGGTGATTGTGATTTAGTTGTTTTGGGGTGTTGATACAGATTTGAATTACAACATCTTCTGTCTTTCAGAAATTCTGTTTGTTTTTAGGTCACCTGAGAAGTCTTAAGTAACCTATTGCGATCACCTTTGTCGTGCATCGTAAACAATTTACGTTTTTTACTTTTTCTCAATAACCAAAAGGCCCAGGGTGTTTGGCCTGTAGTATGCTGGGGTGAAGGGCTACTTAGTATGTTCAAATGAATGACCTTGATTTACTTTCAAGGTCACAAAGGTCAAATATGTTGAAATCTATAAACAACTTCTTCACAATACCTAGGGTCAGGGTATTGGTCCAGTAGTATGCTGGGATGACGGAGTAACAAGTTTTGGAAAATATGAATGATCTTTACTTATTTTCAAGGTCACAGGGGTCAAATATGTTGAAATCTTTAAACCACTTGTAGATAACCAAAAAGCCTAGGGTGTTGATATTGGGTTTGTAGCTTGATGAGATAAAGAGCTAACAAGTTTGTAAGGTCATCTAACACGAAAAGTCAGGATGAACTATAGCCATCATATTTTGTTTGTCATATTGCCCTGTCCACCGTCCGCCCTGTGTAAACTTTTTATTCAAATGACTTCTCCATAACCAAAACGCCAAGTGTGCTGATATAGGACATGTAGCATGATTGGATAAAGGGCTACCAACTTTGTTCAAATGAATAACCTTGACATACTTCCATGGTCGCTGGGGTCAAATAAGTTTTTTAAACTACTTCTTAACAATAACCAAAAGACCCAGGGTGCTGATATTGGGCCTGTATAGTACTTGGATGAAGGCTAGCTGGTTTTTCAAGGTCACAGGGAACAAATGTGTAAAAATCTTTAAACAACTTCTTCTCAATGACTAAAAGGCTAAGAGTGCTAATAATCAGCCTGTAGCATGCCGGGATGAAAGGCTAACAAGTTTGTTGATATTATTGACCTTAACCATTTTTTACATTCATAGGTGTCAAATATTTCAAAATCTTTAAACAATAATAACCAATCACCAAAAGGCTTAGATCTTTGAAAAAAGGCCTGTTGTATGCTGGGATGAAGGGTTAACAATTTCCATTATGCGATTGACCTCCTCTCTTTTTTAAAGATCACAGGGGTCAAATGTGTCTTTAAATGACTTTTTACTCAATAACAAAGAGGTCCAGGCTGTTGATATAGGTTCTTTAATATAAATAGAGGGCTACGGATTTGTTCAAATAATTGACCTTGACCTATATTTAAGATCTCTTTGGTGAGGTGAGCTGAGATCTTCAAATTTCTTTTTCAATAGGTTCAGAGTAATGGCATTTATGTAGTAGCATGTATAAAGTATATAAAAATGATTTTATGAACCAACAATATCTTCTATGTAAGCTGTAGAGTAATTGAGCAATTTATTTCAGGCCTATTTTGCCTCTTTTATATATAGTCTTTATAGTCAGATGAGCGTTAAGGCCCGTTTTTTTTATTTTATGTTTTCAATATTGATAGTTACACAATGTTTATCTATTGTTGTCATATTGATTTAAAATCCTTTAAACACTTGTTTTACTGGTGGACATTGGTTTCTGTTGTTTTCTGGACTATGATAAAGTTAGCTTGGTTATATACACTCAGTCATATTCTGAACGAATTTTAATAATAATAATAATAGACAACATTTATATAATGCACTATCTATTTTGAAAAAAATACTCTAATGCGCTTCACAATTACATAATAATCTTACTACATAATTTATAGAACATGTATAACACAGTAATCAACATATATAACACAGTAACCAAACCAAGTAAGTAGTGGTGATAGTATGTATATACAGGATGTCTGCGTGAGAGTCTAAAATGCAGACGTAAACAGGTGGGTTTTAATATCCCTCTTGAATTTGGCCAGGGATTTTGACTTTCTAGTAGCAGATGGTAAGCTGTTCCACAAAGTGGCTGCTACCTTTCCAAAGCACCGGTTACCATAAGTCACAGTTTGAGAGTTTGGAACGAACAACAATGATTCTGTCTTCGATCGTCGTGATTGTGACGGCTGATAAATGGTGACAAGTTCCTGCAAATATTCAGGAGCTGTTCCATTTATTGCCTTGTATGTATACATCAAAATCTTGTACTGTGACCGGAATCGCACGGGCAGCCAATGCAATAAGTAAAGGACTGGTGTAATGTGGTCCATCTTTCAAGTACGGGTAACTAGGTGTGCTGCGGTGTTCTGGACCCTCTGCAGGCGGCTCATTAGTGTATCAGATACACCAACAAGTAACGCGTTACCATAGTCTAACCTAGAAGTAACAAGAGAATGTTCCAATGTCTTGCATTCATCTGTGGTGATGAACTGACGGATACCCCCAATGTTTCTGATTTGGTGATAACAGGAATTGGCAATTGAGTTTATCTGTTTCTCCATGTTCAGAGAGCTATCAAAGTGTACACCAAGGTTTCTCACAGCTTGGACGGCCTCAATAGTTTGGGCACCGACCTTTAACTGGAGACCTTTAGTGTGTTGCTACTTGTGGGAAAAGACGATCAGTTCTGTCTTTTCCTGATTGAGCTTGAGCATATTTGAGTTCATCCAAGCACTGATGTCATTTAGACAGGCTTCAAGACTTGCTACTATTATGTCCCAGTTGTCCTGAGGTCTGATAACCGTGTAGATTTGTGTGCCGTCAGCATAACAATGGTACTGAAGGTTATGACGAGAAAAAAAAATCTAAATAAGATTTCTAAATGAGATTGAGATCCAATCAAACTGGACTAAACTTACATGACAGAAGAGTGCTTAAATTCATGTGATCAAGAATTTGGAATTCTAATTGTTGTCTTTTGATGCATGTTTTGTTGCCAGATTCTACAGCGGGAGTTGTACAGGAATTTACTGCTGGCAGTCATCTGTGTGTTTACTGTAACACTTCTGCTGATAGCAAACTTTCGAACCAGTCTCATTGTCTTCACATGTGTCATCTTCACATTGGTAAGGGTCATAGTGCAGGTGAAAAAGGTCAAAGGTCAACTTCACATAACTACAAAGTCATGAGTTACATAAATGATGAAGGATATAAAGACTTGAAGGTTATTTGAATCAGAGTTGAAATGTCATGTATTATATGGATTCAACAACAGGTCAGAGGTCAAAAATTGTGACATTTTACATTTATACAAAAGTCACATGACAGTTACTCATTTTATCAAGATTAAACAGTGTGAAATTTTGTCAAACTTTCACAAAAAGTGCTAAATTTTATCAGTAACTATAGTAAATTGTAATTTAGATGTTGACATTGAGAAGAAATTTTGTTGTTCGCTATTCAATAAAGTTTGTCAACAATGGAATTTAGCAAATACTAACAGGTAAATAGACAATTATTTTATGATACAAAAATGTTTGGAGAGATAATTTAGAATAGTAGGGTCTACAAGAAGGTAAATATAGAATACTTTTATTATCACGATGATTTTAGAAAATCATCCTTGTTTGTGTTACATATCTTATAGGTAGATGTAGCAGGCACACTGCATTTCTGGGGTGTTACCATAGATACAGCCAGTAGTATCCTGTTGACCTTGTCAGTCGGCTTGGCTGTCGATTACTCAGCCCATATAGGTCACATGTTCATGACAGTCCAGGGAACACGACCAGGTAGGCATACAGACAAGATTCTAGAGGGATATCCAAATGTAAAAAAATATTTTACTGGAGATAACCATGCAAGAGATAACTAAGCAAGATTCTAGAGGGATATCCAAATGTAAAAAACATTTTACTGGAGATAACCAAGCAAGATTCTAGAGGGATATCCAAATGTAAAAAACATTTTACTGGAGATAACCAAGCAAGATTCTAGAGGGATATCCAAATGTAAAAAACATTTTACTGGAGATAACCAAGCAAGATTATAGAGGGATATCCAAATGTAAAAAACATTTTACTGGAGATAACCAAGCAAGATTCTAGAGGGATATCCAAATGTAAAAAACATTTTACTGGAGATAACCAAGCAAGATTCTAGAGGGATATCCAAATGTAAAAAACATTTTACTGGAGATAACCATGCAAGAGATAACCAAGCAAGATTATAGAGGGATATCCAAATGTAAAAAAGAAATTTGTTTACACTTGTAGAGGTTGTAGAATGTACAATTTGAGTTGATATCTGTACAATGGAGAGTGTACAGTGTGACAGGATATCTGTATAGTGTAGAGTGTACAGTGTGACAGGATATCTGTATAGTGTAGAGTGTACAGTGTGACAGGATATCTGTACCATGTAGAGTGTACAGTGTAACAGGATATCTGTACAGTGGGAGTGTACAGTGTGAGATGATATCTGTACCATGTAGAGTGTACAGTGTGACAGGATATCTGTACAGTGGAGAGTGTACAGTGTGACAGGATATCTGTTCCATGTAGAGTGTACAGTGTGACAGGATATCTGTACAGTGGAGAGTGTACAGTGTGACAGGATATCTGTACAGTGTAGAGTGTACAGTGTGACAGGATATCTGTACAGAAGAGAGTGTACAGTGTGAGAGGATATCTGTACAGTGGAAAGTGTACAGTGTGACAGGATATCTGTACAGAAGAGAGTGTACAGTGTGAGAGGATATCTGTTCAGAAGTGGTGTACAGTGTGACAGGATATCTGTACAGTTGAGAGTGTACAGTTTGACAGGATATCTGTATGGTGTAGAGTGTACAGTGTGAGAGGATATCTGTACAGAAGAGAGTGTACAGTGTGACAGGATATCTGTACAGTGGAGAGTTTACAGTGTGAGATGATATCTGTGTGGTGTAGAGTGTACAATGTGAGATGATATCTGTACCATGTAAAGTGTGCAGTGTGACAGGATATCTGTACCATGTAGAGTGTACAGTGTGAGATGATATCTGTACAGTGGAGAGTGTACAGTGTGACAGGATACCTGTACAGTGGAGAGTGTACAGTGTGACAGGATATCTGTACAGTGTAGAGTGTACAGTGTGACAGGATATCTGTACAGAAGAGAGTGTACAGTGTGAGAGGATATCTGTACAGTGGAAAGTGTACAGTGTGACAGGATATCTGTACAGAAGAGAGTGTACAGTGTGAGAGGATATCTGTTCAGAAGTGGTGTACAGTGTGACAGGATATCTGTACAGTTGAGAGTGTACAGTTTGACAGGATATCTGTATGGTGTAGAGTGTACAGTGTGAGAGGATATCTGTACAGAAGAGAGTGTACAGTGTGACAGGATATCTGTACAGTGGAGAGTTTACAGTGTGAGATGATATCTGTGTGGTGTAGAGTGTACAATGTGAGATGATATCTGTACCATGTAAAGTGTGCAGTGTGACAGGATATCTGTACCATGTAGAGTGTACAGTGTGAGATGATATCTGTACAGTGGAGAGTGTACAGTGTGACAGGATACCTGTTCCATGTAGAGTGTACAGTGTGACAGGATATCTGTACAGTGGAGAGTGTACAGTGTGACAGGATATCTGTACAGTGTAGAGTGTACAGTGTGACAGGATATCTGTGACAGGATATCTGTACAGTGGAAAGTGTACAGTGTGACAGGATATCTGTACAGAAGAGAGTGTACAGTGTGAGAGGATATCTGTTCAGAAGTGGTGTACAGTGTGACAGGATATCTGTACAGTTGAGAGTGTACAGTTTGACAGGATATCTGTATGGTGTAGAGTGTACAGTGTGAGAGGATATCTGTACAGAAGAGAGTGTACAGTGTGACAGGATATCTGTACAGTGGAGAGTTTACAGTGTGAGATGATATCTTTGTGGTGTAGAGTGTACAATGTGAGATGATATCTGTACCATGTAAAGTGTGCAGTGTGACAGGATATCTGTACCATGTAGAGTGTACAGTGTGAGATGATATCTGTACAGTGTAGAGTGTACAGTATGAGATGATATCTGTACAGTGTAGAGTGTACAGTGTGAGATTATATCTGTTCAGTGTAGAGTGTACAGTGTGAGATGATATCTGTACAGTGTAGAGTGTACAGTGTGAGATGATATCTGTTCCGTGTAGAGTGTACAGTATGAGATGATATCTGTACAGTGTAGAGTGTGAGATGATATCTGTACAGTGTAGAGTGTACAGTGTGAGATGATATCTGTACAGTGTACAATGTGAGATGAAATGTTTACCATGTGGAAAATTTTACTTTAACAGAGAGAGTGGTGGCTACACTGAAGAAAATTGGTCCGGCTGTGTTCAGTGGTGGTTTTAGTACATTTCTGGCCTTCCTGCTGCTTTGTAACAGTTACAGTTATGGATTTTCACTTTTCTTTAGGGTAAGTTATCTCCCCTGGTACTCCGGGTTTGTCAGGGTAAGATATCCCCCCTGGTACTCGGGGTTTGTCAGGCTCTGGTATTCAAGGTTTGTTAAGGTAAGTTATCTCCCCTGAACTAGTGTACAATTATTTATGTTCAGATAGTCAAATTTGTCAGGTATATAAATTGACAAAAGTCAACACATGTTAGACTAGAGAAATAAGTGTATCATTATTACCTATTTGTTGTTTTATGAAAGTGTTATTTTAAACGTTTTACCAGTACAGGCTGACTGTGTGAACCTAAGATAGGATGCCTGTATTACCCTTATGATGAATTAATTCCCTTCATCGATGGCTGTCTGAGTGGGTTTATTACCCTGTAGTATGAGTAATAGCCTCTACAAACATTCCGTAATACACCCCTCTTAGTATCTCTATATTTATAAATATTAGACATGGTCGTTATTAATCGCTAGTTGTTTTCTAAACGTTTATGTGTATCCAGGTCCATGTAACTAGGTCAATTGGCCTGACTGCTCCTACAGAATCAGACAAGATTAATTATTTGAAAAAGGTTATTAAAGGATCGGCATATTTTCCCGATCTAATATAGAGTTAAGGATGGGTAGTTCTATTTTGAGGTGCCTAGGTTGGATAGGACTGCATTGTAAGAGAGGAACTTTATGCTATATTGAGGCAAGTGGTGTTGACAATCTGAATACAGAAATGCAGAACGAAGGATTGGTATTAAATTATTTTCTCAATGACCAGCACTAATTTATTTTATCTATGTGGAGGATGACTGATGCTAACAGCACTACTGAAGAAATCCAGAAATCTTATAATGCTCCAGGAGGACATGTACAATTTGTTGTAGCTGTGGAATTTTTTACACTATATAAGTTTATATCTTTGGTTTCTTGATTTTCATTGTATTAATCTTTTTGATTAGTAAATTGTCCTCAACTTCTCAATAACCACTAAAAGATTTCAGTTTAGTTGTACATACATGCACTGTTCTCTGAATTAATCTGCCTCCCCATTTATGGTTGGTTGTAGGTATTTTTTACTGTTGTATTATTCGGGCTGTTCCATGGATTAATCTACCTCCCTGTTGTCCTGAGTTGGATTGGGCCTGAACCATACGACACACATCTGACAACAGAGGATCGGACAAATGTTTATGTTCCTGAGTGTAAATGTAACAGTAAAGGGGAAAGTAATTATCTGGACACATCATCTCAGGTGAGTTACCTCCCTTACACTGTTTGGAACAAACCTTCCAACCAGGTCTTTAATAATAAAGCAAAGTTTAAATTCTACAGCAAATAAACACAGTATTTTATTTCTTTTTTATCAAATCTATGAGAGGCATATGTATGTAACAGAGATTAGTAAATCTCACAACATCTACCATAATTATTCTCTAAAGGAAACAATAGGAAGGGTTAGATTAAGTAAGAAGGCTGCACTAGATCAAGGCAGTTGTCTTCAGTAACATGACAGCATAACCTGTTAAAAATTCACTCTGTAATATATAATCCATTTTACGATATTGTACAAAGTTAAAATACATACAATATTGTACTAGCTTACAATACATACAATGTTGTACTAGCTTACAATACATACAATGTTGTACTAGCTTACAATACATACAACAATACATACAATGATGTACTAGCTTACAATACATACAATATTGTACAAAGTTACAATACATACAATATTGTACCAGCTTACAATACATACAATGTTGTACTAGCTTACAATACATACAATATTGTACAAACTTACAATACATACAATATTGTACAAAGTTACAATACATACAATATTGTACAAACTTATAATACATACAATGTTGTACAAACTTACAATACATACATTTAATGTTGTACAAACTTACAATACATACATACAAAGTTGTACAAACTTACAATACATACAATGTTGTACAAACTTACAATACATACATACAATGTTGTACAAACTTACAATACATACAATATTGTACAAAGTTACAATACATACAATATTGTACAAACTTACAATACTTACAATGTTGTACAAACTTACAATACATACAATGTTGTACTAGCTTACAATACATACAATATTGTACAAGGTTACAATACAAACAATGTTGTACTAACTTACAATACCTAAAATATTGTACAAAGTTACAATACATGCAATATTGTACAAAGTTACAATACATACAATATTGTACAAACTTACAATACATACAATATTGTACAAACTTACAATGTTGTACAAACTTACAATACATACATTTAATGTTGTACAAACTTATAATGTTGTACAAACTTACAATCCATACATACAATGATGTACAAACTTACAATACATACAATGTTGTACAACCTTACAAAACATACAATGTTGTACAAACTTACAATACATACAATGTTGTACAACCTTACAAAACATACAATGTTGTACAAACTAACAATACATACAATGTTGTACAAACTTACAATACATACAATACATACAATACATACAATATTGTACAAACTTACAATACATACATACCATGTTGTACAAACTAACAATACATACATACAATGATGTACAAACTTACAATACATACATACAATGTTGTACTAACTTACAATACATACAATGTTGTACAAACCTACAATAATGCAATGTTTTACGAACTAACAATACATACATACAATGATACACAAACTTACAATACATATAATTTTGTACAAATTTACAATACATAAAATGTACAAATTTACATTACATAAAATGTTGTACAAACTTACAATACAGATATACAATGATGTACAAACTTACAATACATACAATGTTGTACTTACTTACAATACATATAATTTTGTACAAATTTACATTACATAAAATGTTGTACAAACTTACAATACATACATACAATGATGTACAAACTTACAATACATACAATGTATGATGTACCAACTTACAATACATACAATGTTGTACAAACTTACAATACATACATACAATGTTGTATAAACTTACAATACATACATATAATGTTGTACAAATTTACAATACATACAATGTTGTACAAACTTACAATACATACATACAATGTTGTACAAACTTACAATACATACATATAATGTTGTACAAACTTACAATACATACAATGTTGTACAAACTTACAATCCATACATACAATGATGTACAAACTTACAATACATACATACAATGTTGTACAAACTAACAGTACATACAATATTGTACAAACTTACAATACATACAATATTGTACAAACTTACAATGTTGTACAAACTTACAATACATACATTTAATGTTGTACAAACTTATAATGTTGTACAAACTTACAATCCATACATACAATGATGTACAAACTTACAATACATACAATGTTGTACAACCTTACAAAACATACAATGTTGTACAAACTAACAATACATACAATGTTGTACAAACTTACAATACATACAATGTTGTACAGTCTTACAATACATACAATATTGTACAAACTTACAATACATACATACCATGTTGTACAAACTAACAATACATACATACAATGATGTACAAACTTACAATACATACATACAATGTTGTACTAACTTACAATACATACAATGTTGTACAAACCTACAATAATACAATGTTTTACGAACTAACAATACATACATACAATGATGCACAAACTTACAATACATATAATTTTGTACAAATTTACAATACATAAAATGTACAAATTTACATTACATAAAATGTTGTACAAACTTACAATACAGATATACAATGATGTACAAACTAACAGTACATACAATGTTGTACAAACTTACAATACATACCATTTTTTACAAACTAACAATACATACAATGTTGTACAAACTTACAATACATACAATGTTGTACATTTAATTTTAATTGAAAGTGTCAAATAAATGCAGATAAGGAATTTTGAACATAACTATTTGCTTTTCTCTGAATTCCTAGATGTTGATATTTGACACCACCACAAGGTTTGTTGGGTGTGCTATATGTTTGTGAATGATTTTAATGGTGATTGGTTTGGTTGGTCTAATGTATTTCATTGGTTTCCTTGGATACAGTGACAGCATGTTTTTGTGATTTCATTTGGTGAAGCATAGGATTGAATTAATTTTATCAGATGTGGTGTGCCATGGAATCATTTTTTACGATCTGACTTCATGAGGTTTTCTTGTTATTAATGTCTTTCTAAAAAACAGAGTAAAAATTACAATTAGCTAGCTCAAAAATATTTATATATGATTCTTGTTTCAATCTTAACTGAAACTTGTTTGTTTTTAAAGATTCATTATGCTGTATATACAGGAAAATATTTCTTTGTTTCTTGTTCTTTGTAGTGATTCATTAGAGAAAAATACTTCAGTCATATTTGTCAGAAGTCAGCTGTAAACATTTATTTTCCTTACTAGTTCTTTTGTAGATGAGATATAATTTTCCTGACAGAGAATTCATATCAGTCTTATAGGAAACTGGAAAAAAGCAGACAACTCCTTAATCAGGACCCTTGTCTACCTGACACCGGTCCGCTGTGACAATCTATAAACATTTAAACTTCCTTAATCAGGACCCTTGTCTACCTGACACCGGTCCATGGTGACAATCTATAAACATTTAAACCTCCTTAATCAGGACCCTTGTCTACCTGACACCGGTCCATGGTGACAATCTATAAACATTTAAACCTCCTTAATCAGGACCCTTGTCTACCTGACACCGGTCCATGGTGACAATCTATAAACATTTAAACCTCCTTAATCAGGACCCTTGTCTACCTGACACCGGTCCAATGTGACCATCTATAAACATTTAAACCTCCTTAATCAGGACCCTTGTCTACCTGACACCGGTCCATGGTGACAATCTATAAACATTTAAACCTCCTTAATCAGGACCCTTGTCTACCTGACACCGGTCCATGGTGACAATCTATAAACATTTAAACCTCCTTAATCAGGACCCTTGTCTACCTGACACCGGTCCAATGTGACCATCTATAAACATTTAAACCTCCTTAATCAGGACCCTTGTCTACCTGACACCGGTCCAATGTGACCATCTATAAACATTTAAACCTCCTTAATCAGGACCCTTGTCTACCTGACACCGGTCCATGGTGACAATCTATAAACATTTAAACCTCCTTAATCAGGACCCTTGTCTACCTGACACCGGTCCAATGTGACCATCTATAAACATTTAAACCTCCTTAATCAGGACCCTTGTCTACCTGACACCGGTCCATGGTGACAATCTATAAACATTTAAACCTCCTTAATCAGGACCCTTGTCTACCTGACACCGGTCCAATGTGACCATCTATAAACATTTAAACCTCCTTAATCAGGACCCTTGTCTACCTGACACCGGTCCATGGTGACAATCTATAAACATTTAAACCTCCTTAATCAGGACCCTTGTCTACCTGACACCGGTCCAATGTGACCATCTATAAACATTTAAACCTCCTTAATCAGGACCCTTGTCTACCTGACACCGGTCCATGGTGACAATCTATAAACATTTAAACCTCCTTAATCAGGACCCTTGTCTACCTGACACCGGTCCATGGTGACAATCTATAAACATTTAAACCTCCTTAATCAGGACCCTTGTCTACCTGACAGAAAACATGTGTATTTATAGTTTCTGTGATGTTGGATAGTTACACAAATTGAGAACTAGACAACACCATTTTGAATTGGCCATTTTATATAGTATTCATGTCTTATATTTTATTCTGTTTTCCGAAAAAAATTTCTTACAAAACTATTTTCAGATATCAAAACAGACAAACTTGGAAAATATTTTATGAAAAACCAACTTTTTCAACCTTCACTTCATTTGAAAGCACAGCTCAGTGATTGTCAATAATTATAAATATTAAACCTCGTATGATCACAGCTGAGTCCAAGTGCTGGAGTTTATTGGTGATTAATGGTGTTAAATTTGTGTGGATGCGGAGGGTTGTCATCAAATCAGATATTTCTGTGGTGTTCAAATTTTGTGGATTTTCAGATAAATATGATATTTTGTAAAAATTTTATTTCAAGGGTTAATAGTGTCACTGAAATCACCATATTGAAAACATCAATTTTTCAACAATTTATTGATTCATGGGTATATGAATTTGTGGATAAAAACTACATCAATAAAAGTTATCTTCCACAAAAGTTTCTGATAACAGAGGATGATTGGGGTAGCATGCATGTATGACTAATGTAAAATGGATTACAAAGGGTGGTGTGACATTCTGTAAATTTTGTATTTTACTCACAGAAACCAACTCTCGGGTAAGTGGTTCTGTACAATCATCATCTGGACTCATCTACCGGCTGGCAGGTCTTAGTTATCTTAAGTGACAATCACAAAGCCATGAACCGACATTCCTTTTTGAAAAATTTCTACTTCTATTGAAATTTACATGTTGTTGTTGAGGTTTAATTCTATAAATTTGTGTTAAATGATGCTTTCACTTGTGTATCTTTTGTACAATCTTATGTGATAAATTAGAATCTGTTGTGTTTTTATTGAGCTCATCAAGAAAATGTGATAATATTTTTAATTAATTGTATGACGGTGCTTCAGACAACTAAGCCTAGCCATCTCACTGACATTTGCTTGCATTTACTGATATTTTGTTTGCATTTTACTGATCGTTTTCTGGCTGTTGTACTTCTTTATTTGCATTTGTTTGCATTTTTTTCTTAAAAACTTTTGACTTTATTCATTTTTTACTGATTTATTTTCTTGCTGTTTTGTATTTATTTGTTTGCAACCTCATATGACAAATTTGTATTTAGTCTTCGCCTTGATGACTTGAAATTGTTTCTAGCCTTCAGTAATATATATCAATATTTTACCAGAATTAGTTGCCATTTAACATGTATTTACCTTTATTTTCTCAATATTTATATGAAATGATCAGTCGCATGAAGAATCAATACATTTGCGTAGTCAGCAATCCAACATTCCTGTATTTTTTCATCTTTATTCTGAAGTTGTCAATAATAAGGCCTTTGTATGATAGTCAGGATTTTGGAAATTTGTAAATAGATTTAATCATACCTATGGTGGTCATTCTGCATGGTTTAATGGCATTACTAGTGCTAGCCTTATGTCATTTAATTAATGTCTTGTCGGAAATAAACCATGGACAATTTTAATCCTTGCTCAACCTCTTGTCCATCACCCCCCAGACTCAAAATTAAAATAAATAAAAAAAATCAACACTTTCTCCACCTTTCTCAATCAACACTCAAGCTCCACCCCTGTCAATCAACACTCAAACTCCACCCCCTGTCAATCAACACTCAAGCTCCATCCCCTGTCAACCAACACTCAAGCTCCATCTCTATCAATCAACACCCAAGCTCCATCTCTATCAATCAACACTCAAGCTCCATCTCTATCAATCAACACCCAAGCTCCACCCCCTGCCAATCAACACTCAAGCTCCACCCCTGTCAAACAACACTCAAGCATCACTGCTTTCAATCAACACACAAGCTCCACCCTTGTAAAAATCAACACTCAAGGTCCACTTCTATCAATCAACACTCAAGCTCCACCCTTGTAAAAATCAACACTCAAGCTCCACTTCTATCAATCAACACTCAAGCTCCACCCTTGTAAATCAACATTTAAGATCCATCCCCTGACAATTAACACTCGAGCTCCACCCCTGTCAATTAAAACTCAATCTCCACCCCCTGTCAATCAACACTCAAGCTCCACCCCCTGTCAATCAACATTGAACTGTTGTATGATTATTCTACTAGATGTATTTTTCTTTGTTGTAAGTGTTTATCATCACTGATCAGAACAGATTCATCAGATTTCCTTGTCAACCTTTCTGTTATCTATTACTGTGTCTATATATTAACAAGCTTCTACACAAGTTTTTCATTACTGCTTTTTTGAAACATTCTAGCTGTTCCTGATATAAGAAGTTTAACAATGGTTTTACAAGTTTCTTCAATCTTTCTGTAGTGGATACATTATGAACTTAATGGAGGATAAATATATTTACATTTTTTATAGATTATATTTGAAATAAAGATAACACAATTTTAGGACAAGTCATTTTTATTAACAATAATTGTTTTGTTGCAACCAGTTACTAGTAATCAAATCATTTTAAAGTTTAATTGGAAATTACTTTGATCTACAGAATTGCATACCTTTTTATTTTGTTAAACAAATCCAATTATCTATCAAATCAAATTAACAAGTGTTCACATACCATGGTCATTCATTTGGGGTACTCTGATTTGTCACATGACCATCACATGACCAGTTTTATTGGTTTAGGGTATTCAAAATTCAGCATATAGATGCAGAAGATTGTCACATGGCAGTCATATGATTATCACATGACCTGGTTTATGACATCATTACTACCTTTTTAGGAAGTCTACAGACCAGGATGCCTTGTGGGTTCCACAACAGGACTCAGCTGTTGTGGACAAGACAGAACTAGGAATAACCACACAAGACACAGTCGAGTCGCCTCTGCTAGACGACAGGTACAATGTTTTAGATTTTCTGGACAGTCTGCTGTCTCTATACATTGTACAAATGTGATCAGCATTTTTGATGAAATAGTATGGGTTGAATACTGGACCTCTAGTTTACTAATCCCACGATCTATGGATCTAGTAAAAGAGAAATTCTCCCTAGTTTTGTCAATTTCGGTTAAACCCTGGACATCTGGTTTACTAATCCCACGATCTATGGATCTAGTAAAAGAGAAATTCTCCCTAGTTTTGTCAATTTCGGTTAAACCCTGGACATCTGGTTTACTAATCCCACGATCTATGGATCTAGTAAAAGAGAAATTCTCCCTAGTTTTGTCAATTTCGTCAATTTCGGTTAAACCCTGGACATCTGGTTTACTAATCCCACGATCTATGGATCTAGTAAAAGAGAAATTCTCCCTAGTTTTGTCAATTTGGGTTAAACCCTGGATCTCTGGTTTACTAATCTGACAATCTGTTGACCAATAAAGTGAAATTCTCCCGAGTTTTGTCAGTTTGGGTTAAACCCTGTACATAGTTATACTGTACACTTTGATACTGTACATAGCTGTACTGTACACATTTACACTGTACATAGCTGTACTGTACTTAGTTACACTGAACATTGCTGTACTGTACATAGTTATAATGTACATTGCTGTACTGTACACATTTACACTGTACATAGCTGTACTGTACACATTTATACTGTACATAGCTGTACTGTACACATTTATACTGTGCATAGATGTACTGTACTTAGTTACACTGTACATAGCTGTACTGTACACATTTATACTGTACATTGCTGTACTGTACACATTTATACTGAACATAGCTGTACTGTACTTAGTTACACTGTACATAGCTGTACTGTACTTAGTTATACTGAACCAAGCTGTACAGTACACATTTATACTGTACATAGCTGCACTGTACGTAGTTACACTGTACATAGCTGTACTGTACTTAGTTATACTGTACATAGCTGTACTGTACACATTTATACTGTACATTGCTGTACTGTACTTAGTGACACTGTACATAGCTGCACTGTACTTAGTTACACTGTACATAGCTGCACTGTACTTAGTTATACTGTACATTGCTGTACTGTACACATTTATACTGTACATTGCTGTACTGTACACATTTACACTGTACATAGCTGTACTGTACTTAGTTACACTGAACATTGCTGTACTGTACATAGTTATAATGTACATTGCTGTACTGTACACATTTACACTGTACATAGCTGTACTGTACACATTTATACTGTACATAGCTGTACTGTACACATTTATACTGTACATTGCTGTACTGTACTTAGTGACACTGTACATAGCTGCACTGTACTTAGTTACACTGTACATAGCTGCACTGTACTTAGTTATACTGTACATTGCTGTACTGTACACATTTATACTGTACATTGCTGTACTGTACACATTTACACTGTACATAGCTGTACTGTACTTAGTTACACTGAACATTGCTGTACTGTACATAGTTATAATGTACATTGCTGTACTGTACACATTTACACTGTACATAGCTGTACTGTACACATTTATACTGTACATAGCTGTACTGTATACATTTACTCTGTACATAGCTGTACTGTACTTAGTTATGCTGTACATAGGTGTACTGTATACATTTATACTGTACATAGCTGTACTGTACACATTTATACTGTACATCGCTGTACTGTACTTAGTTACACTGTACATAACTGTGCTGTTCTTAATTATACTGTACATAGCTGTACTGTACTTAGTTATGCTGTACATAGGTGTACTGTATACATTTATACTGTACATTGCTGTACTGTACACATTTATACTGTACATAGCTGTACTGTACTTAGTTACACTGAACATTGCTGTACTGTACATAGTTATAATGTACATTGCTGTACTGTACACATTTACACTGTACATAGCTGTACTGTACACATTTATACTGTACATAGCTGTACTGTATACATTTACTCTGTACATAGCTGTACTGTACTTAGTTATGCTGTACATAGGTGTACTGTATACATTTATACTGTACATAGCTGTACTGTACACATTTATACTGTACATCGCTGTACTGTACTTAGTTACACTGTACATAACTGTGCTGTTCTTAATTATACTGTACATAGCTGTACTGTACTTAGTTATGCTGTACATAGGTGTACTGTATACATTTATACTGTACATTGCTGTACTGTACACATTTATACTGTACATCGCTGTACTGTACTTAGTTACACTGTACATAACTGTACTGTTCTTAATTATACTGTACATAGCTGTACTGTACTTAGTTACACTGTACATAGCTGTACTGTACACATTTATACTGTACATTGCTGTACTGTACTTAGTTACACTGTACATAGCTGCACTGTACTTAGTTACACTGTACATAGCTGCACTGTACTTAGTTACACTGTACATAGCTGCTCTGTACTTAGTTACACTGTACATAGCTGTACTGTACTTAGTTATACTGTACATTGCTGTACTGTACACATTTATACTGTACATTGCTGTACTGTACACATTTACACTGTACATAGCTGTACTGTACTTAGTTACAATGTACATAGCTGTACTGTATACATTTATACTGTACATAGCTGTACTGTACACATTTATACTGTACATAGCTGTACTGTACTTAGTTTCACTGAACATAGCTGTACATATACATTTACACTGTACATAGCTGTACTGTACTTAGTTATACTGTACATAGCTGTATGTATACATTTACACTGTATATAGCTGTACTGTACACATTTATACTGTACATTGCTGTAATGTACATAGCTGTACTGTACTTAGTTACACTGTACATAGCTGTACTGTACAAAAAACACTGTACAAAGCTGTATTGTACACAGTTACACTGTTAACATTACAATCAACTTATCTTCAATAAACTGTAAATGTATGTTATACTTTAGAATCATAGAATTACATATCTCACATATCAATGAAATTAGACATTTATGTGTCTAGCTCCAAGGAAATGATAACCTCGCAGGACCTGCCATCATCTCAGATAAACTTTACCTCAACACAGCCCTCGGACCCCATCAGCATGGATACCAGTCCCCTCCAGTACAAAAGGTAAGGTCACATCAGCCTGGATACCAGTTCCCTCCAGTACAAAAGGTAAGGTCATATCAGCCTGGATACCAGTCCCCTCCAGACAAAAGGTAAGGCCACATCAGCCTGGATACCAGTCCCCTCCAGTACAAAGGTAAGGCAACATCAACTGGATACTAGTCCCCTCCAATACAAAAGGTAAGGCCACATCAACTAGATACTAGTCCCCTCCAGTACAAAAGGTAAGGCCACATCAGCCTGGATACTAGTCCCCTCCAGTACAAAAGGTCACATCAGCCTGGATACTAGTCCCCTTCAGTACAAAAGGAAAGGCCAAATCAGCCTGGATACCAGTCCCCTCCAGTACAAAAGGTAAGGCAACATCAGCCTGGATACCAGTCCCCTCCAGTACAAAAGGTAAGGCCACATCAGCCTGGATACGAGTCCCCTCCAGGACAAAAGGTAAGGCAACATCAGCCTGGATACCAGTCCCCTCCAGTACAAAAGGTAGGGCCACATCAGAAAAGGTAGTTCCCAACTGTTGTTGACCTTGTCATAGCGGGACAAAAGATCAGATTGATCACATCATACAGCAATTAAACCCCTACACATCCAGAACTATTACAGTAACTAACCATAGTTATACTCACCTCCAACACCTCCAACCTCCCTACACGCACAGAAATTCACAGGAACTAACCATGGTTATACTCAACACCTCCAACCTCCCTACACACACAGAACTATCACAGGAACTAACCATAGTTATACTCACCTCCAACACCTCCAACCTCCCTACACGCACAGAAATTCACAGGAACTAACCATGGTTATACTCAACACCTCCAACCTCCCTACACACACAGAACTATCACAGGAACTAACCATAGTTATACTCATCTCCAACCTCCCTACACACACAGAACTATTACAGGAACTAACCATAGTTATACTCATCTCCAACCTCCCTACACACACAGAACTATCACAGGAACTAACCATAGTAATACTCACCTCCAACACCTCCAACCTCCCTACACATCCAGAACTATCACAGGAACTAGCCATAGTTATACTCACCTCCAACACCTCCAACCTCCCTTCACACACAGAACAATCACAGGAACTAACCATGGTTATACTCAACACCTCCAACCTCCCTACACACACAGAACTATCACAGGAACTAACCATAGTAATACTCACCTCCAACACCTCCAACCTCCCTACACACCCAGAACTATCACAGGAACTAGCCATAATTATACTCACCTCCAACACCTCCAACCTCCCTACACACACAGAACTATCACAGGAACTAACCATAGTTATACTCAACACCTCCAACCTCCCTACACATCCAGAACTATCACAGCAACTAGCCATAGTTATACTCACCTCCAACACCTCCAACCTCCCTACACACCCAGAACTATCACAGGAACTAACCATAGTTATACTCACCTCCAACCTCCCTACACACACAGAACTATCACAGGAACTAACCATAGTTATACTCACCTCAAACACCTCCCTACACATCCAGAACTATCACAGCAACTAGCCATAGTTATACTCGCCTCCAACACCTTCAACCTCCCTACACACCCAGAACTATCACAGGAACTAACCATAGTTATACTCAACACCTCTAACACCTCCCTACACACACAGAACTATCACAGGAACTAACCATAGTAATACTCACCTCCAACACCTCCAACCTCCCTACACACCCAGAACTATCACAGGAACTAGCCATAGTTATACTCACCTCCAACACCTCCAACCTCCCTACACACACAGAACTATCACAGGAACTAACCATAGTTATACTCAACACCTCCAACCTCCCTACACATCCAGAACTATCACAGCAACTAGCCATAGTTATACTCACCTCCAACACCTCCAACCTCCCTACACACCCAGAACTATCACAGGAACTAACCATAGTTATACTCACCTCCAACCTCCCTACACACACAGAACTATCACAGGAACTATCCATAGTTATACTCACCTCAAACACCTCCCTACACTTCCAGAACTATCACAGGAACTAACCATAGTTATACTCACCTCAAACACCTCCAACCTCCCTGCACACCCAGAACTATCACAGGAACTAACCATAGTTATACTCAACACCTCCAACCTCCCTACACATCCAGAACTATCACAGCAACTAGCCATAGTTATACTCGCCTCCAACACCTTCAACCTCCCTACACACCCAGAACTATCACAGGAACTAACCATAGTTATACTCAACACCTCTAACACCTCCCTACACACACAGAACTATCACAGGAACTAACCATAGTTATACTCAACACCTCCAACACCTCCAACCTCCCTACACGCACAGAACTATCACAGGAACTAACCATAGTTATACTCAACACCTCCAACCTCCCTGCACATCCAGAACTATCACAGGAACTAACCATAGTTATACTCAACACCTCCAACCTCTCTGCACATCCAGAACTATCACAGGAACTAACCATAGTTATACTCATCTCCAACCTCCCTACACACCCAGAACTATCACAGGAACTAACCATAGTTATACTCACCTCCAACACCTCCAACCTCCCTACACACCCAGAACTATCACAGGAACTAACCATGGTTATACTCAACACCTCCAACCTCCCTACACACACAGAACTATCACAGGAACTAACCATAGTTATACTCACCTCCAACACCTCCAACCTCCCTACACACACAGAACTATCACAGGAACTAACCATAGTAATACTCACCTCAAACACCTCCAACCTCCCTACACACCCAGAACTATCACAGGAACTAACCATAGTAATACTCACCTCAAACACCTCCAACCTCCCTACACATCCAGAACTATCACAGGAACTAACCATAGTTATACTCACCTCCAACACCTCCAACCTCCCTACACACACAGAACTATCACAGGAACTAACCATAGTTATACTCACCTCCAACTTCCCTACACACCAAGAACTATCACAGGAACTAACCATAGTTATACTCACCTCCAACACCTCCAACCTCCCTACACACACAGAACTATCACAGGAACTAACCATAGTTATACTCAACACCTCAAACACCTCCAACACCTCCAACCTCCCTACACGCACAGAACTATCACAGGAACTAACAATGGTTATACTCAACACCTCCAACACCTCCCTACACACACAGAACTATCACAGGAACTAACCATAGTTATACTCACCTCCAACTTCCCTACACACCAAGAACTATCACAGGAACTAACCATAGTTATACTCACCTCCAACACCTCCAACCTCCCTACACACACAGAACTATCACAGGAACTAACCATAGTTATACTCAACACCTCAAACACCTCCAACACCTCCAACCTCCCTACACACACAGAACTATCACAGGAACTAACCATGGTTATACTCAACACCTCCAACCTCCCTACACACCCAGAACTATCACAGTAACTAACCATGGTTATACTTACCTCTAACACCTCCAACACCTCCAACCTCCCTACACACACATAACTATCACAGGAACTAACCATAGTTATACTCAACACCTCAAACACCTCCAACCTCCCTACACATCCAGAACTATCACAGTAACTAACCATAGTTATACTCACCTCCAACCTCCCTACATGCACAGAAATTCACAGGAACTAACCATGGTTATACTCAACACCTCCAACCTCCCTACACACACAGAACTATCACAGGAACTAACCATAGTTATACTCAACACCTTCAACCTCCCTACACACACAGAACTATCACAGGAACTAACCATAGTTATACTCAACACCTCCAACCTCCCTACACATCCAGAACTATCACAGGAACTAACCATAGTTATACTCACCTCCAATATGTATATTTCAGACAACATTGCCATTCGGTAAACAACGACAACCAAACACCTCCTCCAATGAGAGTTCCACAAAACATGGATCTAAACAACGAAACAACTCCTCCCTCTACTGTCACCAAGGCAATACATACCTCAAATGCCATGATGACGCCAGACTTGAATATCCACAATGGACTGGAGATGCCTGTCTTGTAAGTTTTCTGTTATTTTGTAGCCTCTATATATCTGTTCTCCCCAAAAAATAGAAAGTTTGTGACTAACTTGCTTCCAGTAGATATAGCCTCTCTATTTCCTCTTCTGGCCATAAAATTGAAAATGCATGCTCAGTGTCTTAAAACATAAGCTGTATTTTCGCAAGGGTGAACAGATACTGCCAAATTTAGCAAAAATGTAAGTGGCAGACGTATTCTGACAATGGCACTGTCAGTTGCAGGATAGAAATATGTATTAAGCCAAACAGTTTGGAACTTGCTTCTATTGAGTACAGTTCTAAGTTCCTGTTCAGGGAAGAATAAATATTTATAAAGCTTGTGTCAAACTTGCCTTTGATAGAAATCAGCATATTCAATTTAACATTGCCACTATAATGTTTGTTCTGGCCAAAGAAATGATTGATCTGAGCATTGAACTGTACCATATGGTAATATACAGTTGAATAAATACAATTTTTGTGACCTATTAAGTCTGTCTGTATACACCTCTCTATTCTGACCACCTATAAAGTCTATCTGTATACACCTCTCTATTCTGACCACCTGTATATAAAGTCTGTATACACCTCTCTATTCTGACTACCTATAAAGTCTGTCTGTATACACCTCTCTATTTTGACCACCTGTCTATAAAGTCTGTATACACCTCTCTATTCTGACCACCTGTCTATAAAGTCTGTATACACCTCTCTATTCTGACCACCTATAAAGTCTGTATATACCTCTCTATTCTGACCACCTATTAAGTCTGTCTGTATACACCTCTCTATTTTGACCACCTGTCTATAAAGTCTGTATACACCTCTCTATTCTGACCACCTGTCTATAAAGTCTGTATACACCTCTCTATTCTGACCACCTATAAAGTCTGTATATACCTCTCTATTCTGACCACCTATTAAGTCTGTCTGTATACACCTCTCTATTCTGACCACCTGTCTATAAAGTCTGTATACACCTCTCTATTCTGACCACCTGTCTATAAAGTCTGTATACACCTCTCTATTCTGACCACCTATAAAGTCTGTATATACCTCTCTATTCTGACCACCTATTAAGTCTGTCTGTATACACCTCTCTATTCTGACCACCTATTAAGTCTGTCTGTACACAGCTCTCTATTCTGAACACCTGTCTATAAAGTCTGTATACACCTCTCTATTTTGACCACCTGTCTATAAAGTCTGTATACACCTCTCTATTCTGACCACCTGTCTATAAAGTCTGTATACACCTCTCTATTCTGACCACCTGTCTATAAAGTCTGTATATACCTCTCTATTCTGACCACCTGTCTATAAAGTCTAACTGTATACACCTCTCTATTCTGACAATCTGTCTATAAAGTCTGTATACATCTCTCTATTCTGACCACCTATAAAGTCTATCTGTATACACCTCTCTATTCTGACCACCTTACTATAAAGTCTGTATACACCTCTCTATTCTGACCACCTTACTATAAAGTCTGTATACACCTCTCTATTCTGACAACCGGTCTATAAAGTCTGTATACACCTCTCTATTCTGACTACCTGTCTATAAAGTCTGTATACACCTCTCTATTCTGACCACCTGTCTATAAAGTCTGTATATACCTCTCTATTCTGACCACCTGTCTATAAAGTCTATCTGTATACACCTCTCTATTCTGACCACCTGTCTATAAAGTCTGTATACATCTCTCTATTCTGACCACCTGTCTATAAAGTCTGTATACACCTCTATATTCTAACCACATATAAAGTCTAACTGTATACACCTCTCTATTCTGACCACCTGTCTATAAAGTCTGTATACACCTCTCTATTCTGACCACCTGTCTATAAAGTCTGTATACATCTCTCTATTCTGACCACCTGTCTATAAAGTCTGTATACACCTCTACATTCTAACCACATATAAAGTCTAACTGTACACACCTTTCTATTCTGACCACCTGTCTATAAAGTCTGTATACACCTCTCTATTCTGACTGCCTGTCTATAAAGTCTGTATACACATCTCTATTCTGACCACCTGCCTATAACGTCTATCTGTATACACCTCTCTATTCTGACCACCTGTCTATAAAGTCTGTATACACCTCTCTTTTCTGACCACCTGTCTATAAAGTCTGTATACACCTCTCTACTCTGACCACCTGCCTATAACATCTATCTGTATACACCTCTGTATTCTGACCACCTGTCTATAAAGTCTGTATACACCTCTCTATTCTGACTACCTGTCTATAAAGTCTGTATACACCTCTCTAATTTGACCACATGTCTATAAAGTCTGTATACACCTCTCTTTTCTGACCACCTATAAAGTCTAACTGTATACACCTCTCTATTCTGACCACCTATAAAGTCTATCTGTATACACCTCTCTATTCTGACCACCTGCCTATAAAGTCTGTATACACCTCTCTATTCTAACCACCTGTCTATTGGGTCAGTAGAAATACAATTTTTAGTTGTTTTATAGCATTTTTTCTTCATGATTGTGATATTTGATAAACAGAAATCTGTCTCTAACTAAAGTTTGTTTCTAAATAGACTAATTGTAAACAGACACTGGATATTTTGATATACAATTTTCCTCAACTTACAATTTCATCCACGCTTTAAAGTTTTGAGATTTGATTTTAACCAGGGACACAGAAAAACTCACTTCACCATGGGTGGTAAAGGGGTCGCAGCTTATCCTGGCTCCAGGGTGGAAAGATACTGCCAACCCGAACCCTACCAACAAGCATCATCCACAGAATGTGATTGGGCAAAAGAAACAAACAGACAGGTGAGTCGTATTTCAGTCTTTCTTATTACAAATAAGAAATGCCAGCTTAAACTTTACTTAATCGTACACAATCGTAGGCTGTTAGCTTCATTATAGCAAATCTTTCCATAAGTTCACTGTATGTAGAAGTTTATCGGTAATCTTGACAAATGTATTGAATATATGTTATCATTTTCAAGTCTCCTGTTTATCTCTACAGTTTGAAGGATCCCTCAAGGAATTCTTCGTTTGAAGCCGACTGATGACATCAGAAATTAACCAACATGCATATTATTCTGAGGAGAGGGCTCTGTCTAGGAGACAGACAGACTAGAGGTGCTTCAGGACAGGGGAAATAACCAGATTTACCAGACAGGGGAAACAACACAAGTAGATTTATCACACAGGGGAGACAACACAAGTAGATTAACCAGACAGGGGAAACAACACAAGTAGATTTATCACACAGGGGAGACAACACAAGTAGATTTAACAGGCAGGGGAGACAGCACAAGTAGATTTACTTGACAGAGGAGACAACACAAGCAGATTAACCAGACAGGGGAAACAACACAAGTAGATTTATCAGACAGGGGAAATAACACAAATAGATTAACCAGACAGGGGAAACAACACAAGTAGATTTATCACAAAGGGGAGACAACACAAGTAGATTTACCAGACAAGGGAGATAACACAAGTAGATTTACCAGATAGGGGAGACAACACAAGTAGATTTATCACACAGGGGAGACAACACAAGTAGATTAACCAGACAGGGGAAACAACACAAGTAGATTTATCACACAGGGGAGACAACACAAGTAGATTTAACAGGCAGGGGAGACAGCACAAGTAGATTTACTTGACAGAGGAGACAACACAAGCAGATTAACCAGACAGGGGAAACAACACAAGTAGATTTATCAGACAGGGGAGATAACACAAATAGATTAACCAGACAGGGGAAACAACACAAGTAGATTTATCACAAAGGGGAGACAACACAAGTAGATTTACCAGACAAGGGAGATAACACAAGTAGATTTACCAGATAGGGGAGACAACACAAGTAGATTTACCAGACAGGGGAGATAACGCAAGCAGATTTACCAGACAGGGGAGACAACACAAGTAGATTTATCACACAGTGGAGATTACACAAGCAGATTTACCAGACAGGGGAGACAACACAAGTAGATTTATCACACAGGGGAGATAACACAAGTAGATTTACCAGAGAGGGGAGATTACACAAGCAGATTTTAGCAGACAGGGGAGATAACACAAGCAGATTAACCAGACATGGGAGATAACATAGGTAGATTTACCAGACATGGGAGACAACACAAGTAGATTTACCAGACAGGGGAGACAACACAAGTAGATTAACCTGACAGGGGAAACAACACAAGTAGATTTATCACACAGGGGAGATAACACAAGTAGATTTACCAGACAGGGGAGACAACACAAGTAGATTTACCAGACAGGGGAGATAACACAATCAGATTTACCAGACATGGGAGACAACACAAGTAGATTTACCAGACAGGGGAGACAACACAAGTAGATTTACCAGACAGGGGAAATAACACAAGCAGATTTACCAGACAGGGGAGACAACACAAGTAGATTTACCAGACAGTAGAGATAAAACAAGCAGATTTACTAGACAGGGGAGACAACACAAGTAGATTTACCAGACAGGGAAGACAACACAAGTAGATTTACCAGACAGGGGAGATAAAAAAAGCAGATTTACCAGACAGGGGAGACAACACGTTTAGATTTATCACACAGGGGAGATTACACAAGCAGATTTACCAGACATGGGAGATAACACAGGTAGATTTACCAGACAATTGAGATAACACAAGTAGATTTACCAGACATGGGAGATAACACAAGTAGATTTACCAGACATGGGAGACAACACAAGTAGATTTACCAGACAGGGGAGACAACACAAGTAGATTAACCAGACAGGGGAAACAACACAAGTAGATTTATCACACAGGGGAGATTACACAAGCAGATTTACCAGACAGGGGAGATAGCACAAGTAGATTTATCAGACAATTGAGATAACACAAGTAGATTTACCAGACATGGGAGATAACACAAGTAGATTTACCAGACATGGGAGACAACACAAGTATATTTACCAGACAGGGGAGACAACACAAGTAGATTAACCAGACAGGGGAAACAACACAAGTAGATTTATCACACAGGGGAGATTACACAAGCAGATTTACCAGACAGGGGAGATAACACAAGTAGATTTACCAGACAATTGAGATAACACAAGTAGATTTACCAGACATGGGAGATAACACAAGTAGATTTACCAGACAGGGGAAACAACACAAGTAGATTTATCACACAGGGGAGATTACACAAGCAGATTTACCAGACAGGGGAGATAACACAAGTAGATTTACCAGACAATTGAGATAACACAAGTAGATTTACCAGACAGGGGAGACAACACAAGTAGATTTACCAGACAGGGGAGATAACACAATCAGATTTACCAGACATGGGAGACAACACAAGTAGATTTACCAGACAGGGGAGACAACACAAGTAGATTTACCAGACAGGGGAAATAACACAAGCAGATTTACCAGACAGGGGAGACAACACAAGTAGATTTACCAGACAGTAGAGATAAAACAAGCAGATTTACTAGACAGGGGAGACAACACAAGTAGATTTACCAGACAGGGGAGACAACACAAGTAGATTTACCAGACAGGGGAGATTACACAAGCAGATTTACCGGACAGGGGAGATAACACAAGTAGATTTACTAGACAGGGGAGACAACACAAGTAGATTTACCAAATAGGGGAGACAACACAAGTAGATTTACCAGACAGGGGAGATAACACCAGCATAATTACCAGACAGGGGAGATAACACAAGCATAATAACCAGACAGGGCATATTTTTCAGATTATTCCCCTGTCCCCTGTCCCAGATTCCAAAGGGGTGTGTGAAGTAGTCCTCTATTCAAGGGCTCCAATGAATGGGATTGGGGAGATGGCCCTAAACATTGCACTCAAGGGGCTGGGATGGGTTGTGAGGAGAAATAATGCAGTACCCCAGAGTCCTAAAGCACCAATTGTCAGGATAGTGTGTCAACATTCCACAGAGTTCTAGTCTAAAACCTTACCTCATTATGTGTCTGTCTTTCAAACAGTTACGAAGAGGCTGGTTAACACGCCAGAGTGTCACCTCATCTATGACACCTTGTTTATATTGCTTATCAGGACATGTAAATGTTCAGTTGTTTGGGCCAGGTTCTTTGATGACTTACAAAAGTACATTTATTTCTGAAAATTAAAAAAAGCACCATTACAGCATGTCTAGCAGTGTCTAAAATCAGGGTAATCATTTGTTTTCATTATGTTACTTATTCAATTGGTTTAAGTTTGACCAATTAAAATGGAGTAGTTCATATCTGATGAGTTGAATTTTGACTGTCAGATCACACTGCTAAATTGTTGGAAGTTATAAACAGGAGAAAGTGTTAAAGAAGACTTTGTTAGAAAGTCTTGATATTTTCATAGTTATTGTGTGATAGCACATGCAATTTAGACCTTAGTCAGATGATGTATGAGTGATTCAGATCCAAAAAGCTTTTTGCTGTTATTGTACTGTAATCAGCTACACTTTAGTCCCATTTTGTGATGTGATTGTGATAAAAAAAAAACTACCGAATTTTTTACATGTAATTCATCATTTTTTCCAATAAGAATTTTTTTTCAATGTGAGCTCAACATGTACATATTATGTTTGACATATTAGGAAGCTGTATTAATTAGGTGTGTAATGATATGCATGTTATAAAACTGTGTCATTGTTATGCTATTTTGGGTTTAGTGTATTTGTGATGTGTTTATATCTCCATTGAAAAAAATCATCATTGAAAATGAATTCTCATTTCCCATCCCAGAGATATTTGTATAACAATGTTCTTAATGATTTACAAAATGACATCAGCCATTAATCTTTTCAGTAAGGTGAAATGCTTCAGATTTTGGAAATCATTATATTTTTAGTGTTGTAATTGGCCCAATTGAAAATTCTTTAGAGACTTATTGCTGATTTAAAAAGTGTCTTCATCAATTAACTGATGAATTAGACAAATAACAACTATAAGTCATTTTCCTATCCGTTAAAGTTTATTTCAGGACAATGAATTGTATTTGTGCCACAGATCGCGAGTTTGAGGCCAGACAGGTCACGAGCCAAAAATTGTCTTCCGTTGTTATTTGTGTTACAATGTCCGACATATCAATAAATTAACACAATAAGACATATGCAGTAAATTACATGTCTTAATTGTAGCAGGACTTGATACATGTACATATATATTTATATATATATATATGATATTACATTTAGAGTTTCTCCATGCACAATTGACGAACAAGCAGGAAGACATTTTTATTCATTTAACACATCCTTGTAATATTTTTCATCAATCTTTTAACCATTTTTAGGTCACCTGAGACAAAGTTCTAATTCCCTTCATCCGGCATCATGCATCTGTAAACAATTTTACACTTTCGACTTCTTCTTCCTGATCAAATTTCAATAAAATTTGCAGAAACCTTCCCTGGCCTAAGATGAACTGAAATTGTGAATTATACAGTCCCAATCCCCAGGGGCCTGAGGGGTGGGGCCAAAAGAGGTCAAATTGACTCAGATTTCAAATATCGTCTTCTCAAGATCCAGATATGGTAGAATCAAATACTCTTCATGAATAGAAGCATCTTAAGGTGTTTTACCAAAATTGTGAAATGCATAGTCCCAGGCTCTCTCATATCCCCATGGGGAGGGGGTTAATTTTACTAAAGTTGAAAATGGAACTTAGATTTTTTAACATAATTTGTTTAATTTCCATTGGAAATATTTCAGACTTGGTTAGAATTATGAGTGAAGGGTGACGGCCTGATGGTCTCAACACTTAGATATGGTGAAATCAAATGCTCTTCATGAACGAAAGAATCTTAATTATCAAAATGAGTCTCACATTTCTTCCTGGGGAGGAATATGTTTTTTAGACTTTATTGTAATTTTCATAGAAAAATTGTATTTTTGAACATAACGTTGGTTATTTCCAACTGGAAATAACTTTATAAGCATTATCAGTATAGGATGATATTTTTGATTGTATGCATGTATTGACACTGTCTATATTCATTGTAATAATTTGTTTCATGACACTTGATAACTATTCTCTAAC